CATCTTATGGTACTCTCAGTTTTTTGCTGAATACTCTTTTTATTCACGCTTAAGGTAAAATTGATCCATCAATTTGATTAGAGAGAACCAAATACTCGGCTATTATTTTTTATATTCCTCAAAACATGTTATCATATAAATGTATATTAAAATATATATAATATCATGTAGCTATTTTTAATATATGATATTATTTTGTTAACTCTGAATTGATCGTCAAGTTGATTCCAGCCCTCAACTTTAAAGGAGCTAAAAATGTTAGGCAACGGTTGCATGGCCATCATTTGCGTTTGTCTGTAAAGCATCCGAATCGACGTTGTATGGTGGACGAGTGGCCTGAAATTAATGTGATTGTACGTGATTCAATCATGTTTTTAGGTACAGACCACTCGTCTCCAACGTCTGTCCGAGTTGCCGACCATTCGGCACACCTCTCGAAAGCACGTGCTCACGAGGCGACAGGAGACTATTCGACATGGCGGAAGAGCAATAAACACATGTTTCCGTTCTGGTGATCGGTCGGCAGGCTATGCCTGCGACGCTTTAGAGAGTTGTGACTTGCGGCGAGGCGTCTCAACCGTCGGCGAGTGGACAAGTGAAGCGACCATGGCAAAAGACAGGAGGTCCAGAGAGCCAAACGAATGATTGAAAACTGGTTTGTGCAGCTTCAGCTCTCTTGCCGAAAGGAAGTGTGGTGCGACTGTATGTGGGCAAGCGGCCAGACATGAACGAATGCCGACATCGGCGTAGTTTAATCGTCAAAACGGCCATTCATTTGTGCACAAAAGTCAGCCAGATTAGGTGTGATCTCGTTTTTCATCTTGGCGTTGTGCTGCCAAACAGACTTGGAAGAAATTGCGATCTAAACAATTCTAAGCTCTGTGCTCAGAATCACATGAGGCAGCAGTGACAAAAGGTCTGTGAACGCCCCCAATCGAGGGTACATGGTACAGTCCAAGATGAGTTCCCCAAAGTTGCGGAACCTTATGTCTACAGGCTAAAATACATGAACGTAAATGTTTCTGACGAGATAAAGAAAGCCACCATGACCACATAAAAATTATGTTTAATTGATCGGGAGTAGCCCAAAAGAGAATACAAATCTTGTAAATCATAATACTACTGTCTACTGTTTACTTGTTATATTATGAAACCTTAGCATAAACTTTATGATGTAACTATTTTTGCATTTATTATTAATTCGTATTGCTCCCTTCAGCTCAACATCTTGGCTTCAGCATACAACCTGTATGCGTGCGCGTGTGCGCTTACACACAACACTAGCAGACATGCTCAGAGCTGAAACCCATCGATGACTTCAAGCCTTCAAGGAAGCAAGAAAACTTTCAATTTTGCCCGACGGTTACGCCCGAGACAGGACACGATGTCTTGCGGACTGTACCAAGTTGAGCATCGTAGTGAAGCCAAACTGCTGACCCTCATCTTTCGATGGGCTCGACCTACAAGTCTCATCTTCATGCACTTTCACACGAAATTAAAGTCTTCACAACCTGCTTGACGATGCTTGTCAATTGGCATTTACTCATCCAATCGTGTAGAACGAAACGAAAGTCGTTTTGAAGAGGACAAACCATGGGTCAGCTCGGATGGGTGAGATTAGAAGGAGGATGAACCGAAGACCGGTACGTTCAGGACAACTGTTCCAGCTGCCCGACAATCCTTCTTCCATCGCCACAGCAGCTAATTAGCCAGCCACTTTTAACCAACTTTTCGGCAGAAAATGAAAGGTCAGGTGGCGTGAAAGTTGAAGGGTCATACAAAAATGAATGGGCCACACAAAACCGATGTCCATATCTTGTGGCAGAGGTTCATGTCATTCACTCCTACCCTTCTCGTTCTGCATGAAAAACTTGCATTCGCTGCTGAAGGTTGTTGAGTTTACGTACATTTTATGCGAAAGAGCGTCTAATGAACAGATTTGTGAGTAATTATCACCAAAAGAAGACAGCTTATGCCGATTGGAGTTACTGGTACATTTTTGCTGACATTGTCCCCGAGATGACCTTTTTCGGCTTTGGAGAAAACATGTTAAGCTAGCGTTTCGTTTATAAGTAGACTTTCGGCACTACCAGTAGGTCTTTATCTACGAAATTTATTCACCCCATTTCTTTTAAGGCGTTAAGGGTAGTTGGATTTTTCCACAATCTTATGAGTAGGTAAACATGACGTTTCCATTTAATTTCGCATATGAGATGTATTCTCCCTATTTCGTATAAGCTGATGAAGGACTGGTAGAAGAAGAATTCTCCCACAATGATATGAGTTAAGCTGATGTTTCCATTCAATTTCACATAGCTTTGCTTTCCCGAAAGTTGTTCTCATTCAGGCACTAGTGGACTGTAGTTTTGACCTCACATCGGGAGTCGAACTCATATCATTGTGGAAAAATTCTACTATCAGTCCTTCATCAGCTTAGGCGAAATAGGGTGAATAAATCTGATATTACTGATTTAATGGTAGTCTCGAAACTCTACTCTAATACGAAAATAATTTTGCATAGCCTTGCTTTGCCAAAATGAGACCACAACTTTTTGGGAAAGCAGGACAATGTCAACTTTGATAGAAACATCAGGTCTTGTCATCGCATGTTGGAAAAATGCAACTACCAATCTTCTTATTATCCTAAATGAAATAGGAGGAATGCATCTTAAATAAGTAATATCGCCCAAAGTAATGGTAAATGCATACTTCTTCGTCGACACGTTGAGCATAAATGTAATTATGGAGAAGCCTTGTATGCCATGAAAGTCGCATTTACTTGTAGATACGAAGAGCAACTTGGTTTCTACGAATCTCCTGAGATAACATTGTTAGGCGGACTTTCATTTTAAATGAAAGTAAATGA